GACACTTCCCACCTGGAAGTGCCCTTCCCTGGGACACTTCCCACCTGGAAATGCCCCTTCCCTGGGACACTTCCCACCTGGAAATGCCCCTTCCCTGAGACACTTCCCAGCTGGAAGGGCCCTTCCCGCAGGTGTCCCGGCTGAAGCAGGCTCTGCAGGAGAGCCAGGCCGAGCGGGAGAACGTCCTGCTGGATAAGGAGGTGCTGCTGCAGCGCCTGCACAACCTGGAGCAGGACATGGACGCCCGGAAGCGCTCCCAGGACGATCGATCCCGGCACCTCAAAACGCTGGAGGTGGGAATGCCATCCCAAAAAAAACCCCTCCCTCTTCCAAAAAAACCCCTCCCTCTCCCAAAAAAACCCCTCCCTCTCCCCGGCCCTGCAGTGCCCGGTGCTGACAGCAAGGGGCAGAGCCTGCCTGTCATTCCCAACGCCTGGAAGTGCTGGGATGGGATCAGATTCCCGATTTTATTGGTTGCCAGCGCGGCCGCTCTTCCCAGCTCTTCCCGGCTTTTCCCGGCTCTTCCCGGCTCTTCCCGGCTCTTCCCGGTGCCTCTCCAGGGCTCAGTAGGGGCCTCTCCCCCCCCCGGGGGTGGTGGGTCATATCCCAGTGTTTCCCATCCCCTCCCAAATCCCGGGATGCGCCGGAGCTTCCCGGCTTTGTGGTTTTTGGGGAGCGGATCCGTCTCCTCTGGAATTCCCGCGCCTTTCCCGCTTCCCATCGTTCATCCCACCCCCCTCCCGCGGCTGGGACCGACCTTTCTCATCCCGAATCTTTTGCAGGAGAAGTCCAAGCGGCTGGAAGTGGAGCTGGACGAGGAGAGGAGCACGGTGGAGCTGCTGACGGAGCGGGTCAACCGGAGCAGGGACCAGGTGGGAGCCGGGAGAACCCGGGAGAACCCAGGAGAACTCGGGAATCCTGGAATTAACACCACACTAACGACTCCCTAACGAGCAGCTCCCTCACTAAATACACTGGGAATGACAGTGGGAATTGTGGTGTTGGAAAAGTCTGGGCGTGAGTGGGAATTACGTGAGTTTAGGGAAGAAAGATAAAAAAAACCCAAAAGAAATTCCCGGGAATTTACGGGGTGAGATTTGGGGTTCGGTGGGAATTTGGGGGCTGAAATCCTCTTAAATCCCGGACTCTTCCCTCTGTCTGACCCCACCTGGTCATTCCCTCAAAGCTGGAGCTGCTGGAGCCTCCTGGGATTCAGCAGGATCCCAATGGAGCCTCCTGGGATTCACCAGGATCCCG